TTTAATACTTAAGTAGATTTTGTGTCAGAAATTTACTTTTGATACTTAAATACAAAAAATATCAGATACTTTAAGACTTTTACTCAAGTAATATTTTTAGAGAAAACTTTAACTTTTATCAAAGTATTTTTATGATAAGATACTTGTACTTTTACTCAAGTATCACTTTGAGGTACTTTATACAACACTGTTTAATTTAACACGTGTGGATTAAAGATAAAATTGAGGTGAAATCTGAGTAAATTAGAATTTAAGGTGTTAATCTGGCCACTAGATGGCGCTCTGACTGCTCTGTGAGGAAACTGCAGCTCTGAAAAACCTGAAAAATCACAGAAACACAAAAACCCTCAGAGAGGAAGATGATGATGATGATGATGATGATGATGATGATGATGATGATGATGATGATGATGATGATCAGCAGAAACAAGGTGATGACAGAGAAATGGAGGAGAGAGAAACCCTGAATGGATTGAGATGACTGTGCTCTCAGCCAATCAGAGCGCCCGCCTCCCCTCCTCCTGCATCCGGGCTCTGTGATTGGCCGGTCGGGTCAGAGATGCAGAGACGCAGCAAAATATAGAAGAAGAAGAAACAGCTGGATGAAGACGTGTGTCCTGCTTCCTGAGGGTAGGGGGCTTCATTCACGGTGATGGAGCGCTGCAGCTGCTGTTTGCCCCGCGGCATCATGGGAGCTGCAGTCCTCCAGGAGGCGCAGGAGGAGAACTGACCAGAGGAGGACTGTGGGTCAGCAGAGTTCGGGATGTGAGCTGGTGGGCGGACTGGGTCTCAGGAAACTCTTCGTCTTTTTCTCCCTCATCGCTGCAGCTTCCTCCTCCCACCTCCCCCTGCACCTCCTCTGTCTCCCCCTTCACCTCCTCCATCTCCCCCTGCACCTCCTCCATCTCCCCCTTTATCGTCTCCGTCTCCCCCTTCACCTCCTCCATCTCCCCCTTCACCTCCTCCATCTCCCACTTCACCTCCTCTGTCTCCACCTCCGTCCTCTCCCCATTTACCTCCAGCATCTTCCGCTGACTCCCACCTGCTCCAGGAGAATCCAGGATGGGCTGCCGACTCACCCGAACGAAGGTGAGTGGTCTTCATCAGGTGTGTGATGGATGGATGGATGGATGGATGGATGATGGATGGATGGATGGATGGATGATGGA